TTAGCTGGATTTTTGTTGATAATATTGTTGGGAAAGTTGTTGCTTATTCTGCTGAGGTAGTTCTGAATAGTATCCATTTTCAAGTTGGAAAGGAGGTCTTATTCCAAACATAGTGAGAAGCTTTTATGATGATTCATAGCACCTTATTTTGAATCACTTGGAGTTTGCTAATCTCGTTTGCTGTGTAGTTTGCCCAGGCCAGGGAAGCATACGTGAGAATGGGCCGAATTATAGCCTCATATATCCTCTTTTTTAGTCTGAGGAAGAGGTTTTCATCCATTAGAAGAGGGCCTGAAAATGATCCTGTGTGCTTTTTCACGTACTCTAAGTATATGATCCTTCCAATAGTAGTTCTTGTTTAGAGTAACTCCCACATAATTTGCTTTTTCAACTCTAGGGATGATTTTGCCAAAAAGTTTAATCTTAGTTCTGACACATTTACGCTTTCTGCGTTTTCAGATAGTAGAATCTTGGATTTTTCTGGCTGAATACATGTTTTCCAACGACTGCACCACTCCTCAATAGCTGGGATTTCGGCTTGAATTCTCGCCAAGGCATGATCAGGGTTTAGACACTTGGCTAATGCTGTATCATCAGCATAGCTAGCTGTGAGAAGATTCATATTGTCCGGGAAGCATGGGAAATCGTTGGAATAGATGATGTAAAAAAGTGGACCTAAATTTGAACCTTGAGGAATGCTTGCATGAATATTTTTTACACATGAAGTCGCACTTCCAAGTTTAACGGTGAAAGTTCTATTTTCAAGGAAGGACTTGATAATCAATATCAGATTCCTGGAGAATCCGAGATGGATTAGTATATAGATCAGTCCTGGATGCCAGACACGGTCAAAGGCCTTTGCCACGTCTAGCATCAGGATAGCAACACTCATTTTGTTGTGCATAGCTGTGTCGATGAACTCCGTAAGCCTAACTAACTGCGTTGTAGTAGATACTCTTTTCCGAAAACCATGCTGGTGGTCAACGAGAAAATCGAAGTTTTCTTGCATTCTGAGATAAATAATACGTTCCTGGATCTTGCTTATGGAGGACAGCAGGCCTGATGGGTCTAAAGTTTGCTGGATTATCCTGTGCTTTCCCTGGCTTAGGAATAATCAAGATGCTGAATCAGATAAGTGTGAAATAATTTTGATACAAACATGCATTGAAAATGCCTGTTAATTTGCATATGGTCTTAAAGGGCATGTTTTTTAGCATCTGGTTCGTAATCTCGTCCATTTTTGGAGCTAAAATTAAAGATCCTTTGATTAGTCCCTTGATAATGCTCTGCACTTCATGCAGTGTGGTTAGTTTGATAGGAGGTTCCGTTGTAGGGGAGTGCAGTCATTGATTGTTAAGGTAATAAACTTGAATATCCGAACTACAATCTGAAGAGAAGGAGTTGGGAATGAACTGCTCAGAAAGGTTTTCCACAAATAATACAACTTTGTCATGATTGGAGTAAGCAAACCCGTTATCGCATTTGAGCGGTTTTTTAGTAGAACAGGGGCATGTTAGTGTCCTTGAATGACGCTAGATGGTGCCAGGTTCGTTGTTGATCTTTTCCATCTTATCCTTCCATAAGCTGGAACGATGAGCCATGCTTGATTTCCCTATTAAGCATGTTAATTTGAGTTTTGATAGCAAGATCCCAGGTGAGATTGAATTCTTTTCGGCGATGATTTCGCGAATATTGGCTGGAAGCGTGTGCTCATGTCTGATACAGTCAACCTCAGTTGTAGCTAGGGACTTAACAGAATGCAAGTGCGAAGAAAAATTTTTTACATCATATTCAATGTCCGAAGGGCTTTGTAACGAGTCATGATGAAAATCACTGGTCATCAAAATATTATGATAAAGATTCTAATTGGTATACTTAATTGGAGGTAAGTTCTTAGCATTTTCCACTCCAAGGTAAGCAAGCACTACTGGCACATGATCAGAAGATATGTCACATGTTACTGTAAGAGCCATGGGAATATTATATGTTGTAATAAAAATATCCAGAATATCTGGTCGACGATATTAAGCCTAGAAGTAGTTTCATCTAACACATGCAGAAAAACAAGTTGATTACACATAAAATCATGCACGATGTGTCCATTATAATTCGAGTTGCGGCATCCCCTATCAAGATGCTTGGCATTTAAATCACCTCCTAGAAAGGTGGGGGGAGTTCGGGTTTATAAGTCCGTCCAGGATTGCAGAACTGAGTTTTTTCCAGAGCGGTTATACACAGTGACTTCCCCTATTTTGGGTAGATTCACTATCACTTTAACACTTTCCATACCATCACAGTTATCTCCACTTTTCAGATATGAGTCAAAAGTCACATGTACCACCATGATAAACAGCACAGGGATCCGGTGATTGTCTGTCATTTTTATAAGTAACATAATTTGCAAGCTAGGGAACTCTCCCTGGCTGGAGTCTGGTCTCTTAGACAAAGATAATGTCCAAGCCCTTCTCTTTGACATAATCACAAAATTCGTGACATTTACACATACTGCCATTGGTATTCCATTTACATAATTTTAAGTACTTCAAACCTTTCAAAGTATTGAATTTTAATGTGAGGAGGAATCAGAAAATTTGAGAACTACATAGCTCTCAAAAATATAGCATGTGGTGTAAAGCACTATAGGGAGCCACTTGTAGCTGAGGCAAAGCATTTTTGAATGCTAAAAGTAATTTGCTCTGGTCAATGCCAGGCTGGTTTGAAATTTGAATTATAGCCAAAGGGATTTTGGTGCAATTTTGAGTCTGATAAGCTTCTTGAGGAACCGAATAATTTGGAATAGGGGGAGGAGCAACCTGTTGAGTGCATGTTAAGGTATGAAATTCCGGGACAATGTCCGGAGTATGAAACTCTGGGACAAACTTTACTGTCACAGTTAAAAGTTGCAGCCAGACATGGGTTTGAGTTTAAATTTTTGCTGTTGTTGGGGGAAGAATCAATGGTCGAACTGGAATGAGTTGTGGTTCTATTTAGGTTTTTCTTTGCTCCAGGGAAGCGAGGACACGAACGGCAGTTCGCAGCATGAGAACCTTGGCAATTCGTGCACTTCATCAGCTCGTTGTAGGGCTTGGTGCAGTTACTTGAACATCGGTGCTGTGCCAGCACTGATGTTTCCTTCCTTTGAATCTTTCTCCTTGAAAATCGATGCCAAGAAGTTCCGTGATATTGAAGATCTCATCTACTTTCAGACTGTTGTAAATCTGGATGTAGAAAAGTGGCATTGGAGCTTTAGTCTTCCAGCACTTGGGTGTTTAGCTTGAGACTGAATAGTGGGGGCGTGATCTTGTGAACTTTAAACCCAGCGATTTCAATCGCAGTCTGTACGTCATTGATGGGAGTTATAGAGGGTAAACCTCGAACAACGATTTTTAAGGAGCGATCAGCTTTCAAAGTATGTAATTTAAATTCAATTTGGTTCTCTGAGAGGAATCTAATGAAAGTTCTATAATCCTTCATTTGCAGCATTTTATCTGAGAAAATCAATATCCTTTTCAAACTGAATAGTTTTTACGAAGTTGTTGCAAAAGAAAGTACCAATCAGCTCGTGGTTTGATAAATACAGGAGGATGAGTTTGAACTTTAGGAATAGCATTTGCTGCCAGCTGCATTGGATTAGTTTCAGAATTAGTTCTTGCATTATCTAAATTTTCAAATTTATTTGAGGTACTAGGAGTTGCTATTTTGGGTGAATGAGCATTAGAAGATTTTTTGGCTACAAGATGTTTAGGTGGGAGGGCTATCTGATTTCGAATTAGAATATTTTGCTGGGCTAGGTGGTGAAGGTTACTTGGTATTAGGGGTAGCATCATTTTCTTTCTGATTAAGCTTATTGCAATTCGCGAGGCATTCGCTTTCAGTTGTATGGAGAGTAAACAAATTAACCCCTAGGCTCGTACAAAGGATTTTTAAAGAAGTCAAAAGTTTCTCACCTTCGGCACGCATCTGTTTTAGCATGGCGTCCTTGGTTTCCGGTAGGTAATCTTTTTTTCTCAATCTACTGAATCTCAAAGTCATGCTCTGTGGTCCGGTTTTTCAAAGCATAGATTTGGATAGTATTGTTGGACACTTCATTAGGAGAAGTAGCAGGAGGAACAGTTGTATCCATATCCGAGTTCGTTATTATCTGGAGAGAAGGTAGAGGAGCAGTATCCACAAGAGAGGTATTGCCAGCTGGCAGCGCCGTATTCGTGTTAGGAGTTGCCATATTATTGAGCAGAGAGCTCTCTAGCGAGTGACCATCGCTGTCTGCATCCATGACGGGAATGTCAAAGTAAGGTTACCAGATTAAAATCATTATCTAACAGCAAAATTGCCAAATTCAGCATGTACCCATTGTTTCACTTTAGCCTGTTAATTATAATATGGTTAATTATAATATTATTATTAAATATTATAATTATATTATAATATTATAATTATAATTAAATTATAATATGCTCCAAGATAAGATAACCATGCCTTAACTCAGTCAAGATATTATAAAGGCAACTTACTAAAATCTCAGATTTCACTATCAAACTAAAATATTTTATTTACGATTACAAAATTGCATGTCTGATTCTGTCTGATGAGAACAAAGCAGTTTTCATGGAACTTACTATACCAATATGTACTTTCAGTAAAATAGAAATATTACATCAATAATTCTCCATACTGTATTCTTATAAGTTTTATATTAATAAAGCTGAAAAAGCACTTCTTTAAACAAATTGTGTTGATACTTAAAAATTACATATTCCACATTAGGGTAATTAAATTTGTGTTTTCACTGTGATGGCCACTTTAATAAGAAAGTATCACTGAAAATAATCACTTCATCTTTGAAAACAGAAACAACATGTACATGGTTTAAATAAGCTGCTGTTATTTGTAAAAATATAAGTGATATGAACTTTTTTAGTCCTAATTATTAACCTAATAATAATCTGTTTAAATATCAGATTAAAATATCTTTTCAAACAGTAACATTGTTAATTTTTCAGGCTTTTCAAGAGCTGCAAGCCAAAGTGCTTGATACAACTCAGAAATTAAAACTTGCTGATCTGCAGATTGATTCATTAACAAAAGCTATTCAGCATTCTGAACTTACACAAAAAGAATTAAAATCCTTGCCTGAAAACACACCCATGTATAGTGGTGTGGGAAGGATGTAAGTAGTCTTTTTTTGAAATTTTTTAAAATGTGAATTAATTAAATAATTTCTGTCAAATGTGAGGTTAACTGTTTAGAAGGTATGATCTGTTCTTACCTGTGCATTATTAACTGTTTTACCTACCTTTAATCTTGGGTATTGAGTCAGGAAATTATAAAAATGCCTTTGTAAAAACAATATCTCAATATCAAATAGTTTTTATTTTTGTGTGATTTTAATCAGAGTATTAACATGTAGTAGTGCATTGCATAATAATGCCAGTTTTTGCATATGAAGTACAATTATTACTTTGCAATTTTCATTATAAAACTAATTTTTTATAATTAATGCTTTTTGATGTTTGTAATTATTTTGTAAGTTTGATGTATTTAATTTGTGAAACATTATAACTTTTAGAATTTTTTTTTTATTTTTCATTTATTCTTGAATAAATATAGCATACTAGTACATGGACATGACCCATGACAAGTACTATATGTTTTGTAATAACATTCAATATTTATAAGGAAATTAAATCTAAATTACACCAGCAGTTAAGAATATGGCTGTGAATTCAACAACAAAAATGCCTAGTTGTGAGTCATGAACTAAGTGACTGAAAGTTGGCATTTGATGCAGTAAAATTATGGTTTCATATATGTTTCTGCAGCAGAAATTGCATTCAGATAGTTTCAGTAACCTTAAATTTCTTCACATCATCTTATATTTTGTAATAATCCTTGCGGTTTGAATTGTTGTTCTGATTTGATTATGTTGATTTTACTTGTAATAACCCGAAAAGTGCATTTCTAAACATTTCCTATGTTTTGAGTGCATAATGCAGAAAAATTTTGCTAAATGTTAATAAATATGCGACTGAATATAAAAAAGGTTTTTAAGTTAACATTAGTTAAAATTCACAGCTCTCATTTAGAAACCATGGTTTAAAACACAGATCTCAAAATATAATTGTGTTGTACCCAATTATATTTTGCCAAGAACATTTTGAACAGGAGCTGCTGAACACTAATCTTTGTACAAATGGGAGACGTTCAAATTTCTACGCGTCTAATTAAGATAAAATAACAAGCCGAACAAATATTAATTTAGAAGTCAAACAACAAAAATCAGCCTTATATATGCAAATTTTCACAGGACTAGTATCGATGGTTTCCTGAACCATCGTCCTCAGCTGCCAAAGCACAAATGAACAAGATAAAATATAGTCATTAGATAAGATAAGAATGGCTGCACAGGAGTTAAGCTACTGGCACCAATTGATGAAACAAGAACTAAAACATAATTTCCTTAAAGGCTGAAGGCAAAGGTGGATTGGAATTAGGGTCATTAACTAGAACAGAAAGATTTTTTTGAATATGAAACCAAAATATAATTAAAAAGTGGAAGATTTTTTTTTAATAATGTTGGCTGCAGAAAAATTGAAAGTGTGATTTTTTGGACCAACAATGCTGGGCAACAGAGAACTTCTGTGTTTCCTTTTTTCTAACATATGCTTCATGTTCCTTAATGCAAAATTTTAAGGCTCTCTTACTTTGACCAATGTAAATTAAACCACACTGGCAAGAAATCCTGTAAATACAGCAGGAATTCGTATCCGGAATGAGGTCCTTGATTTTTTGTTGATACGAAACTAAACAACTCAAAAGTTAAATTTCTGTAAAATACTTGAAATTTCTAGTTAATTTGTAGTAGGAAAGAAGGGAATGACAACAGAATTCTTACAATCTCCTAAGACGAGAGTATGCCTTTTGGTGTGCTGAGATGAGAATTAACTGCTTGATTAATAATGTTGGGTGAAAAGTCCCTGTCAATAGCTACTGTTTTAAAATAATTTAGTTCTTGATCAGGAATCAGTTTGGAGGAGCAAACTTGAGGTGCACAGAAAACGTAGGAATAAAATTTTTGTACAGAAAACGCAGGAATAAAAGCTAATTTTTGTTTAGTCGGATGATATGACTTGAAGCGTTGTGGAAGGCAAACCGATGAAGGTTTACAGTAAACCGTAGTACAGAAGTTGGATTTGTTATATTTATCTGCTTTCAACAATGAATTCCATTGATCCTTTTATTCAGTTCACTTTTGAATTTGAGACTTGTGCAATTCTCTTCCATTCCTCAACATTTTGGTCACATGTAACACATCCAACTTCATTACTAAGGTTTGCCATAAACCTTCATCGATTTGCCTTCCACCACATTTAAAGTCATGTCATCTGACTAAACAAAAGTTAGCTTTATTTTATTCCTATGTTTTCTGTGCACTTTGTTTTGTGTTTGCAAGTTTGCTCCTCCATAATGTCTCTTAATCAAGAACTAAATTATTTAAAAACAGTAGCTGTTGACAGAGGCTTTTCACCCAGCATTATTAATCAAGCAGGTAAAAAATTCTCATCTCAACACATCAAAAGGTACACTCTTGTTTTAGGAGATTATAAGAATTATGTTGTCATTTCTTTCTTTCCATCAATTAGCTGTAAAATTTTACGTATTTTACAGAAATTTAACTTTTGGGTCTTTTATTCTCCTGTCAATAATATCCTATCATCAAGGACTCCATTCCATATATGAATTCCTGCTGTATTTACAGGATTCCTTACCAATGTGGTTTAATTTACATTGGTGAAACTAAGAGAGCCTTAAAATTTCGCATTAAGGAACATGAGGCGTATGTTAGAAAAAAAGGATACGCAGAAGTCCTCTGTGGTCCAGCATTATTGGTTCGAAAATTGCACTGTCAATATTTCTGCAGCCAAAATTATTCAAAAAACATCTTCCATTTTTGAATTTGAATTTTGAATTTATTTTAAAAAAATCTCTGTTCTAGTTAACGACCCTAATTCCAATCCATTTTTGCCTTCAGAGTTTAAGGAAATTATGTTTTAGTTCTCATTTCATCAGTAGATGGCATTAGTAGCTTAACTTCTGTGCAGCGATTCTTATCTTATTTAATCACTGTATCTTATCTCGTTCATTTGCACTTTGGCAGCAGAGGTGATGGTTCAATAAAACCATAGAAACTAGTCCTGTGAAAATTTGCAAATATAACGCTGATTTTTGTTGTTTGATTTCTAAATTCTCTGTAATCACTTTCATTTAACTTTGAAATGTACTGTGTGATTATTTCATCATTAGTTTTGAAATAGGTATATTTATGATATTTAATTCTGTAATTAAAATCTCTTAGTCTGAGATAACTAATTAAACTGAATAAGCACTGCAGTGTTAAGATTAAATTACAGCAGAATGACGATAGATGGTATGCTAGTTCAGTTCACTGGTAGCCAAAATGCATCATTTGTGAGACTTAACCAGATATCCAACTTATATTTTCTTTTTGTAACATCAAGCCTGATATTAAAAAGAAAAAAAAAAAAAAAAAAAGGCACAACTATTAACTGGACACTTAGGTTGTCCAAGAGACATTACTATTTTTTCCTACCTTTTCTGAACAGCAGTATGCCATCAGTACCTTGATTTAACTAAAATATGACCTTCAAATTTTAATTGCTAATTGAGTAAATTATTGTTGTTTCTATAGAGAAATTATCTAATGATGTTTTCCCTCACTTCTTGCAGGTTAGTGATATTTTCAATGACTGTGACTAAAAGTTTTATAGGAAGATATTTTGTCACCTTAGAATTTTCTGTAGAGCAGATCAATCAAGAAAAGGTTTAAAGTGCTATATTTTAATTCTGAATGATCACAAACAGGTTAAACTGTTAACTAATGGTACAATTTTCTCATACTTCCCAGTACTTTGCTATTCTCCTTATTCTTTCTACAGTATTTGTGGGATAATATAAGAACTTTCTTAAAAGATCCAGTTGTAACTGCAAAATTTTATGACTTTCATATATATCATTGTAATGATTCTGCTATAAACTTTGTAACTTGGTGGCCATGACAGAAAGATGGTATGTCTCGCTAAAAATGCCTAATTTAAAACATATCATCTTATACACCCGTGTGCAAAATTAAAAGGATTTGCATATTATATTGAATTTTTAAAAACTAATGGACAAATTTTAATGAAATTTGTTGTGAATATACATTTATAACAAAGAGATGTACTAATACCATGCTCCAGGCTCTCTCCAGATAAATGTGTGCTGAAAATCAGCATCCTGGCTGAATCTTGATTCATCTGTATAAAGCATGGTGCTCCATTGAAGTCTGGTCCAATGCACATGTTGTTTGCACCATGCTAAACATTCTCTCTTGTATTCTTCAGTGAGCGGGATGCGCACATTGAGTAATCCATCATACAGAACGATCTCATCAATCCTTCAGGCAACTGATCTGCATATCAAAAGCTTTAACGTTCTCAGTATTGCTCCCTGGCAAGAAGTGAATATTCACCTACTTAAATATTTTTGTAGAACTAAAGAAGAGCAGTACTAATGATGTTCAATATCAACAAATTTTCCTAGAGCATAGAAGCAGTTATTCTATTCTAATTCTATAAAGCAATTTTTACTGATAACTCAAAGAATCATGATCATGTCGGGGCAGCTTTTGTTTGCAATAAAGAAATCAAGAGTGGTAAACTTCATATGGCTGCATCTGTCTTTACTGCAGAAACTTTTGCCATTTTGAATTCATTAATCTTTATCTCTTGGCAGAATAGCAGAAAGTTCATCATCTACTCTGACTCTCTGACTACTCTTGAATCAATAAATACAACTACCAGCCACCCTTTAGTCTTAGAAATTTTAAAGGCATACCTCCATTTGAGAAACGCAGGTATCCTATTGTGTACTGCTGGGTGTTTGGACATGCTGGCATCAAAGGCAATGAACTCACCAATATTGCAGCAAAATCTGCTGATATTACCTCTGAAAATAGTGTCCCTTTTACAGACATATGGAATTACATCAGAACAAAGATCTTGTCCAGGTGGCAAGAACTATGGGAATGCCAGACTCTGAACAAATTAAGACAGGTAAAACCCAATTTGGAGTATTGGGAGTCGAGAGGGAACCGAAAAGAGGATGTACTACTGATTCGCCTACGAATGGGTCACTGCAAACTGACACATCAGTATTTCTTCAAAGGAGACAATGAGCCTATTTGTGACACTTGCAACATTCCCACTTCAGTCGATCACATTTTAACCTGCTGTCCTGCTTTTAGTCAGAAACATGAATATTATTTTAACTCTATGAATGTTAACAGATCTCATTGGAAAAAACCCTCTTATCAATCTCATAAGATTTTTAAAAGACATCTCTTTATACCATATGATTTGAAGCTTTTTTTTAACTTTTATCCTGCTCTACCTGTTGCTAGAGCATTTCTCAGTCATTTCTCCATGCCTTCATCAGCATTACAGGTTCATTTCAAGAATTCATCTAATACAATGTGTTTGTGCATTTTGGATTTTATTCACCATTCGTCTGGCACATAATAACCTTCAAGGTTTTGTGCCTTCAAGTAAACCAACCAACCTTCGGGCAACTGTGGGCTGCAATACCCGGGTCTTATGGCAGTATAACAACTCACATGAGAGCTGTGAAGCTATAGCAGCTGTGTGTCACCACTCTGAAAGTCCCAAATAACGAGTGTCATTCTGCATTGTGGATCTTGTTCAACCTTATGCAGGTCTTCTTGATATGGATCCAGTGTCCTGAAACTGTTTTCACCAATTGCAGGCAGAAGTGGACATTGCATTGAGCTCTGTAGCTATGTGTGCTTGTGATTGGCTTGCCTCCAACCTACCAACAATTCTTTATCTTATTCCATCATCCATGTGTTCGTGGCTACTCAATTTACCTGATACCTTATATATTTTGCTCAAGAACGAAATACAGAATGTTATGAAGAAGTACGAGCACACAAATTCACGAAAAAAACCCTCGTGTGCTTATATCCCATCCACAGTCACAGCTCCGCAAATATGCACATGCATTCTTACGTAATCAACTCCGAATACTTGCATCTTCCTTCAACGGCATAATTAGTTCTTTTGGTTCAGTGCTTTTCCTAAAAATAGACATAATTTGCTAATTGTCTAAATCTTACCATTATAAAGTACATTAAGATAGTGCATATATAACTTATTGAGATTTGATATGAAAAATATTGTTTGATCATAAGGTACGGCAATTAAAACATTGGTACTTTAGTGTTTTCCCATCAACCATCAAAACTGTCGACTAGCAGCACAATTTAGCTCCAACTGCAGATGAGCATGACGTCATGATACACTCTGTAATCTTGACTGATTCTAGACAGGCCATTTGTTTTTTATGAGCAAGGATGTAAATTAACTGTTGTTGCTATGTTTTTTCTGCATTTTGAAAAAAAAAAAAAAAAAATCTAGTGCTGTAGAATCCCATTTCTGACTGCACTGTGATTCATTTACAGCTGGTCAAAGTAATCAATGTCTATTGAAGGGGAAATGAGCAAATGGTTTGCCAATGAAATATTAATAGGTTGAAGCAATCACTTGCTGGAACCTAATACTGTTCTGAACAAAGCTTCCAGTAAAATTGGAGTGTGTAACAAAATAGTAGAAGTCAATGAAAGCCTTCCTACAAAGTATGAAAAAGGAAGCAGGGTGAATACTTTCACAACAGTGGCTATTTGGTAGATTGTATAGAGACTGACCAATATTTTATTGTAAGATTTGCAGACAGAAGTGTGATTGAGAATTCTGCAATAATGATTGGTGAAACTTTGGCTAGATTTTTGCCAGCTTTTCATGGTCGGTAAACTAATACATAAGTACTAAACTATTTCAATGTCCTTTATGTAGAAATCTTTCTATCAAGCTCGTATATGATAACGCTGTCTTTTATGTTCACAAGCCTTCTTATTAAAACACCCTTTAAAATTAAATGCCATTTCTTATGTGCTTCTGCTCGTGTTTGGAGTATTGTTTTAATTAAAAATGTAATAGTATAAAATTCGAGCTGAAACTAATGATGTTTTTTTTTTTTTTTTTTTTTTTTTTTTTTTTTTGAAAATTTTTATTGTTGTATGAATTGATTTTAGAGATTCAAGTGACTTTTCTGATTTTTCTCTCAGGTTCGTACTTACAAGTCATGATGATATCAATGGAATGCTTTCTAAGAAAATTCAGACATCACAAGACAAAATAAAAGAACTAGAGGTATTTGTTGCTAATGTTTTTATGTATGTCTGTATATTCAGTATTTAAATTAGCCCTTTTGTTGAATGCTTCAGTTATAGGTGAAGGTTTTTAATATTTTGAACATCTAGTTTGAAAATGCATGTTTTCCATGTTTAGTGTGTTAGTTTCATAGGAGTTTAATTTCACTTCACATAAACAAAATTAATGTTATAACATTAATAAATATTTTTTAAAAATCTAGAAACAAACATATCTAATACACAGACATAAACAAATCTAATTAGCAGATTATAAAACATGCATAGCATTTAAAAAATATTTTCAAAATCACAGTTGTAGTAATAGCCTCAAGGTATAAATGTGGAAACAAAAGCATTGCTTTTAAATTATCCCACTATACTAATGTATTATCTTAGGAGTTATTAACCAAAAGGGAATTCCTTCCTGGGGGGGAATTTCATATTTTCAGAGGAAATGCTGTCGGTCTAATAACAGTTAAGCTGTTAAGTATTTAGTTTTAATTTGTAATTATAAAAATTTTTTAATCACCTTTGGCATTTATCAACATTTTTTCTTGTTTCTTTAATAAAAATACATTAAAAAATAAATCTAATTAATGTATATGTATTTTTTGAGTTTTGAAAAGGAGAGGGGGAATGATCTAGTAATGGTGAAAAGGTGCATGGGACAAAACAGTTGAGGACCAATGTACTATGTGATACTTTAGCCAAATACCATATAATTCTGGCAGTGCAAATTTTTTTTAGATGTTAGCAAACTTTGTTTTGATAGAAATCAGCATCGCAATTTTTTTTTAATTCTTTTGTGTATATCAAAATAAAAATTTTAACAAAAATGCATTATATTCATAGTGTATTTTGAATGAAGGACAAAATTTATTTTGAGGGTATTTAGCATTTCCATCAATCATACGAGAACTTTATAAAAAATATGAATAATGGAATTTTGTAAATTTTTCATTTTAGATAAATCCCTCCTCTTGAATATATAGTATATGTGCAATGATGAATATCTTTAAACTGAAACCTTTTGTTATTCTATGTTCTGTGCTATCAATATTTCTACATCATAATTAGTTCTAAGTTTGTTTCATCATTACATATAGGTATAGTATATATATATATATATATGGACAATGTTAAAAATAAATAATACTTAATTTCTGCATTTGAGCTGCAAAGAATTGAATTTTTAGAAATTATTATTTTTTAATAAAAAGATTAATTCATCCTTAGAAAATATTAAGTTACTAGTACAGCCTCGTGTTTCTCAGGAGTGATATATGAAATTATTAAATTATTAGATAAAATATTAAAGCTGAAAAGAATTTTTCTTAAAACAATAATTTGAAATAGGTAAAAAAGTTTGAAAAAGTATGTATGGAATCAATCATGGAGGTAAGACTAAGAGGAGACGCCATTCTTACGAAATTACAACTTTTGTGCATAGATAGGTGATATTAGTGCAGTTATATGTGAAATTGTTTTATTTTTCTGTGCAATGTAATTTAAGAAAAATCTAAGAGATAAGCTATGCCAAAAAAGTAAGAATACAGGGACAAGTCCATTTAACATTGAGTAAATGGGTATCTTGGTATTTCACGAGATATCGCCAAACTGACAACAGTTTTAGCGACCTATTTTGTTCCCAGATTTTGGGACTATTTTGCACCCTATATCACTGTAATAGGTATTGTATTTGATTACTGTAATAGCTACAACCATAATTCGACCCTCATATTGCTTTTCAGTAATTTCGAGAAGCAGAAAGTACTAGAAATATCTCGACAGCCAGTTGAAAACTATATAAGGCTTGAGAGAGCATCAGCTCTCAGTTAGTAGTTATTGCGAGTTGTTAGTTTAGTGCGAGAGTGGATATATTTCTGGGTTAGCTTTCTCATTAGATGCATTTTGCATTGCTTTGGGTTTATTTTTCTTAGTTTGTGGCGTAACTACTGCTTGTACTCTGTGATACTGTGAATACCTGTATGAGTTTTTATGTCGAAAATTCTAGAACTTTGAAGTGTTTCTGTTGATAAAATAAATTTTATTATACCATCATAGGACCTGTGTGCCTTCAATTTGTTATGAGCCCATATGCATGCAACAGCATGTATGGGATAAACCATGGAGGTGAGAATAAAAGAAGACACTGTTCCTGCACTACGCCTGGCGCAGTGCTGCCGAGCTTTGGTCTTATATGTATACAAAATTCATATTAAGATAAAAACCTACAGAAACTGTACACAAATATTCAAAAACGTTAGTCTAATATATAAATTATGAAAGCATGCAAATTAGTCCTGAAAATAATATGTATAAAATGAAGCTCATTAGAAAATTTTCTAAAATAAAATTTACCAAAATCTCAAGCAATTTCAGAAAAAGATATTCAAGGAAATCAAAATAATGCAAAAACAATCTGAAATAAGACTTATTTTTGCTGGTGTTGGAATATTTTAAGAAACATATAATTCCAGTTGTGCTGGAATACTAGAGATATCAAAATTGCAAAAAGTACTTAAGTTTGCAATCTTGTGTGGCAGTTTATAAAATGGCTAAAAAAATCTGAAGCTTAAATGCTGGTGAAAAGGCAAGTTGTTAAATCATAAAATTCTTAAAACAGTAGAAAAAATAGTGGGGAAGGACCTATCTTATATTCATTACAAAAGGTCTTTGGTGTCTTTTCATTTAAGGGTGCACAATTTGGTGAGTTTCTGGCTGAAAACTGTGATCCAGTAGAAACTGTATTGTGTCCTGGGGCTTGGCTACCACGTACATCGGCAGGTAGTGGGTAGCCGGATGTCCTCTATTATCTGTCAGGATAACTTCAAATATTAAATAAGAAGCTGCAAGTATGTGTGTGTATATGTCATGAAGCAGATTTAGAATGTAATAATGTAGGAATGTTGCTTGCTTAAGTATCGAAATGTTGATCTGTAATGAAAAGCAATTTAAGCAGCAAGGCAGATTAAATATTCATTTTTATTTCATCTTACACTTATGACTACAGTTCACTTGGCGCTCTAATTGTACCTATTTCGAGAAGATATACATTTTGATATTCTTACCATAGGAAGTAAAACAGCATGACAGTGTCTTATCGATTTCAGAACCAAAGTGCACAGTTACCCAATATGGCAACTTAAGCGAAAAATTTCAGCTGTTGAAATTTTGAGTTCCATATTAGCTACGTCATCATCGCTGTGTTAAAGTCATGTGATATAGATTAAGTCTGGAAATGATGCAGTCCAGAAAAGTTATTACTATTTTTAAAATAGAGAGGGGAAGTACTCAAATTAAAATGAGGAATTAAGGGGTTGTTGCTAATTTAAATTATAATTTTGGTTCATATGTTTTAGCTTACACACACACACATACATACATATATATATATATATATAATGTATGCAGAGTACTAATTTAAATGTACATGATAGCTGATTATGTACATTTCCCTCAAAAATTAGCTTGTTTATATTCAATACAAATAAGAATACATTACTAAAAATAGTACGTGTGGATTTTTCTTTATCTTCAAGAAAGGAAATTATTGTAAAAAAAAATGGGTTAATAAATAATGAGGAGTTGAAATTAAATAAAATGTTAGTTAGTAAAACAAATTGGCTTAACTTGACTGTGCAATAAATTTTTGAAATCAATAAAGGTATGTTTGTAGAGCAACAAAACAATACCAGAAGAATCATACCTAAGTGGTGGACATTTAGGGACATATACCATGAACTGGAGGTGCAACTTTCCAATGCTTTTGGACACTATAATGTTTGGTGTCCTATCATGTAGAATTTATATGGCAGAAATATAATGGCTATGAAAATTGTTTCCAAGCTGTTCTTGTAGCAGTTGCCGAATTATATGTGCCTAAAATTTCTTGTAGTTAGTTTGGTGCGTTTTTGGCAAATAAGAGCCCCAGAATACCAAAACTGTATAATTGTTAGTATTCCATTAAATCACTGTACTGAGCAATAACTTTGGTACAGAGTATGGTAGTAATAATGTTTTGAATGGAAGAGACAATTTTACTAACTGCAGTGAGGCTTTGTAACAGAGTGCCACATGATTTGTCTCATAATAATTTATGCACAGGTGATCCAGATCAACAAAAAGCCATTTATATGATCTTAAGGCTAGGTCTCCTAACTGAGATAGGCGATACAATATTTTTCAGATTTGAAAAATGTATCTCTTAATTCTAGAGCCATAGCTAGGGTTTTCAGCACCCTGGGACACTTGAAGATTTCGTGCCGTCCTCCTGTTTTCCAAGAAAGGAAAACATTTCATTCTGAAATTTCTTATCATCAATTTAATGCCCCCTGGATGCTGCATCCAGGGACAGATGTTCCCCTACCTACATGCCTCTGCTTAATTCTGCATTTGACAGATATATAATCCATGGATTGGTTGCAAAAACAGATGGTCTTTCTTGAGAGATTTTCGTATCATTTTTCAACGAATAGTGTAATAGTAGTCATAAGTGTAAGACTTTTATATGCAGGTCGCTGAATAAACTTTGGTGATTTGCATATTTTATATTCATGTTTTGATTATTTGTGTACTCCAGACATTCCTCCTTTTCTTCTGATATGCAAAAGCCCTTTCTTTATGTTTAAACATCACTTTTAAAGAATGTTATACTATCAAACGGGAAAATTTGCTTTATTCAGTTTTTTGAAAATTTTATTTTAATGCATATGTATATATCTGTTTTTTTTTTTTTTTTTTTTTTTTTTTTTTTTTTTCCAGACTAGTAAAGCTTACTTGCAACGCAGTATGAAAGAGAGTGAAGAAAATCTTCGTGAACTGGTTGCAACTAAACAAAGGGAACGCTCATAAACTGTGTGAATAAACACATGAATCACTAGTTCATGTTAAAACTTTCTACTTCAAATTGTTTATTATGTGCATTTTTGGTTTATAAATAATCATCATTAAGTGTGTTTTTATCATAAATTCAGGCCTTCATAGTTCCAGCAAGCTAAGATAAAATTCATATTTCATTAAAATTATCCAATTTATTATGTTTTGCAAGTTGCTGTTGTTTTTTTTTTTTTTTTTTTTTTTTTTTTAGTTATTGAATAATTTTAATTTTAATATGTGAATTCCTTAAACCCCATCTCTAACTAAAACCTGGATTGCTTTTGAAACGTGGATTCACATTGTTATAGAAAACTGTCACTGTACAAAATTTATATCCCTTGTGTATTATAAATAAATTCTTTTTGAACAAAATTGTGTTTTATTCCTTTCAGAAAAAAACTGATATGAAGGGAAGTAATATAATATTATCATGTATGCTCAAGATAGGTGAAAATACTGTACTATTTTCCAATTGAAGCTTTGTTTCCTTATAATAATGGCTCCCACCTCTGTAAATGATGGCAAGATTGTTAATATAGACTGCTAAAGATTGTACAATAATTAATATCGTAATTTTTATTATTATGATTATTACTTTTCTTGTGGTTGAATGGCAAAGATTATTATTGTTATTAAGAAAAATATTCTCTTTTTTTTTATGTAATGTTTAGAATGCAGTGTTCTCAGCTTTTTTTATGTTGTTTATGTTAGCAATGCTAATATAAGACTGCCTTTTAACTGAATAAATAGTTATTAATTTTTAAAATTATTGTATTCATTCATCTGAAGAACTTTTATTTCATTTGAGTTATTTAAAAGACATCCGTAATTTTTTGTTTGCAGTTCTTCTTTACATTTTCTGGCGTTACATGTCAAGACATTACTTCTGATTTGAAATAATGTTTCAGCCAGCAAAAGGATTTAAGAAAGAGGACTTGTTGTATGTTGTGGAAGAAATTGGTGTGGCATTGCCTCAAAAGGTGGCAATAACAGAACTGAACGGAATTATTTTGAAGAGTAAGTAGTATTTGGAAGATCCGTATTTCATTACAGATGTTTTGGTAACAACTGTTCGTTAATGGAGAAAAAAAGAAGAATGTGAGGAAAAGCTAAAACAAATACAATACGAATAACGGGAAAAGATAAGGCAACATGAGCTGGAGTTGGTGTGAATTCATGCAAAATGACCAACGGCAAGCGAGTCTCAAAACTGTTACTCTTACCGGATCTATAAAGAAATTTAATTTACTGCAATTAGAGATAAGACAGTTTAGTGGTGACATTGAGGATTGGCTACACTTTTGAAGTCAGTTCCAACAGATTCATAATCATGAAGGAATTGCACCTGAAATTAAATTTCAGTACCTCACTCAAGTTACTGTAGGTGGATCCAGAGCAGGAGAAGTTGTAGAAAACTTCCTGCCAACTATACCAAAACAGTTGATAGTCTCAAAACTTGGTTTGGAAGAGATTTATTTTTTCTTAAAACTCATAATTTCAATTCATAAACATGAAAAATTTAAAGGGCATCTCCTTATGATAAATCTAAAACATATCTCTGAGCACTAGAGACACTGGGAGTGACTACTGATAAATGTGCTTCAATGCTTTATCCTATAGTTGAATCTCATTTTCAAGAAGAGTTCCTGAAATCATGGAACAGAAGTGCTTCTTGCATAAGCTCAACTGATGCTAAGAAATTGTTTACTAATTTGATGTTCTTCCTTAAGGCTAAAACTGAAGGGGAAGAAAGAATAAATTGAGCCATGTCTGGTTTTGGTTTATATTCAAGTGAGAATTGCCAATCTTTTAAGAAAAGAGGAGAGCATTTAACCACAGGAAGCGTACCTACAGCTGCCAGTTTACTCACTACAGTTTCAACAATGCTTAAATTGTGCCGGAGTGTGGCTCCAGTTTCTCAGTTTTAAAAATAAATTACAATTCTAACCAGAGCCCTAAATAAGATGAGCTCCAGTCCTTTGTTTATAAAACAACCACAATTTAAAGCGCAACAAATTTAGAATTCCTAACGTTTTAGTTTAGCAATAAGCAGACCTTGTAATACCCCTTTAAGAAGGGCAATAAATTTGGGGGAGTTTGTTTAGGAACGCATAAATTTCTCGCCAATGTTATCGTATGTAGTGTATTTTTATTGATGCTTACAGTTAGTTATCCTCGCTGGAAGGAAAATTTGTGTTCTTAAGTGTGCGTTAAGTGACAGCGAGTACAATAAAAGTAAAATACTGAGGTAAACTGCTCAAGTACATCCTATACATTGTCTTCCCACAGTATTCACTAATGGGGAGGGGGAAAGCGTAACCAGCAACTTTACATTCATTCTTAGTCAGATTCAGGACTCATTTTACCCCTGACACACATCTCCTTGATGGCTATAATTATATCAGCAGAGAGACATGATCAAAGAGAATATTCTCTCTCACCAAGATTCCCCTCAATTTTTGTTTCCACCCACTCATACCCTCACTGTTTCGCCCTGGAATTTTCATCAGCTATACTTTAAGTATATTTAATTTTTGTGATAATAAAAGAACTCCCCCCTCCCCCTACGATCAGAGCTAAAACTGAGATCCAGTGCTTCTTAGTTTTTGTAATAAATAATTCTAGCCGGAAGGCACCAGAGCTCTGAATAAGAAGGCTACAGCACTTCTTTTATATAATTGAATAACAATTTCAGTTGAAATTTTATCTCGAAAATTTTATTTTAGCAATAAAATTATATTAAAAATTGTTTATTAAATTTCAATTTATCACTTTACATTTTATTTAATTACTTCAATCTTTAATTATTTCAACAAATAATAATTAAGTAGCTATTAATTATTTTTGATAATAATTAACTATTTAATTTTTAAATTATTAATGAGTTTAATAGTCATTTTATTTATTTATTTACTCTTGCTCCTCTTTGCTAACGATCTTCCGTAGGGCTCCGGCACTTGTAATCGTTTCAAAGGATGTGAAGAAAGCATGCATTTTTTTGTTCAGGGAAACATTCGAGCTCAGACTGTTTTTCTGCTCAAAAGATGAGTTTAACTGAGAAACAAAACATTTTAAGAGATAAACAGTGCTGTTTCGCTTGCCTGACAGCTGGGCATCCAGTTTGTAAGTGGGAAGTGTTTCTGAAATGTGTAGTATGGGGTAAAAAACATGTGCCACTTATGTGTAGTACTTTAGATCAATGGTTCTCAACCTTTTGACTAATACATACCATCTAAGCAAAAACTGAAAAATTTCAGTACCACCAGTACATTTTATAATGATCATTTTTCAATTCTCAATAGAAATATGAATACATATATTACCATTTGCACAACCGATTTGCTATCTGTATGAAATATGCACATGAAATTATTAGATTAAAAATTGGTCCCATTTTAATTGTCAAAATTTAAGTTATGAGACTTTAGTTCTAAAATTTAATGTGAAATTTGAGCCACTTTAACAGAGATCAATTTCTTTGTCTGTTCTTATTTCACTTATTTTTAACCATAAATTAGGATACACATTTGATTTTATTATGTATTTATTTTTCAAGTACAACATGGAAGAAATTTCTTGTTCACACAAATATGGTGTGCAAAAAGGCAATAAAAATTTAATAGTTTCTATTAGTTCTTTTAAAACATTTATGACACATATTGTTATGTATATGGCTAAAAGAATATTTGTGAAAATAAGGGGTGGCTATTGACCTTCAACTAAGCTCAGATCGCATAAATTTACGAGTGTTAGAGAAAAATCTTAAACAGGATGTTAGGCCATTTAATTTTTTAATTCATAGTTAAAAATACTTTTGTTTCTTTGCGTACCGGTTCAGAATCACTGCTGTACACCATTAGTTCTCAACGGGGGCGGTAAGAGAATGCTCAGGGGCGGTGGGCATATTCTGGGCTTTAGGGGAGTGATGAGCATATTTTGGCATTCGAACTTAATTTTAAAACTCCCAAAATGCGCTCTATAACAAAAAAAAAATTGACGCACCAAGGTGTTGTCCGATGGCGACAAAAATTGGTGGATAGGAAGGCTGTGTACAGAATAGAAAATGATTAAAATTTCAGAACAATTGAATGATTTATTTTAGAGTTACAAAGTAGCGAGCTCAACAAGGTGTTGACCCACCTCTAGCCGGGATGCAAGCTGACACACGGAGTGGCATAAACTGGAAGGTCTGTGGTATTTCTTCCCAAATTTGCTCCAATTGTCGGGCTAGGTTATCAACATTCCCTGATAGATGCAGGCGCCTTCCAATCCTATCCCAGACATGCTAGATGGGAGAAAGATCTGGCGATCTGGTTGGCCAAGGAAATGTTTTCCAAGCTGTAAGAGAGTTCATAGCAACACCTGCCGTATGTGATCTGGCATGACCTTGCTCAAAACTAAGGCCAGGTAACTGCAAATGCAAAAGGAACGGTAGCAAAACGGGTCTCAGATGTCGTTGACGTATTGCTGTAGTTGTGCCTCTAATGACGACCGAACGGGGTCCGACTATCAAGGGTATCAAAACTGCTCGTTGAGGGCTTGTAAGGCCAGCAAGAGTGAAAGCAGGATCGGCAAATTGCTCTGGGCGTCTCCAGAGACGTCTTTGATTAGACTTTATCAAGAAACCAGAAAGAAAACTTTGTTAGACATTATCAAGAAAAATTACTCAATCAAGAGATTTCTTTAACAAATGCTATCCTCGTAACTTCCCTTTTAGTAAAAGAAATGGCCATTACTGAAATGTGGAAATTGGATTCCTTAGGGATACAAGATTCTTCAGAACAAAGAACTAAAGAGAAATTTATGATGCCTTTTTAAAACATTTTTATGGACTGTCAAAAGTTGATGAAGATCGATGTTCTTGTTAGTTTACCATGGCTTGACGTTCATTTACGTTTGCCAGACAATTTTAATCTGGCATTAAAAGGTTACAAGTGACCACTCGTAAGCTTAAAATTGAGAAGTTATATAAGAAGTATGGAAAAGTTTTCAAAGAATGGGAGGGAGAAGGCATCCTCAAAGAGGTTCCTAAAGAAGAAATTACGTCATGTTGTCACTATTTGACTCATCGACTACCGACATGAGGTGACGACCAACATTATACCTGTGTATAGCTGTAGGCTTCTTCTAAAGAAAAGCGAATTCGTAGTCTCGATGCTTGTGTTGAAAAGGGATTGAACTTGATAGAATTAATTCCTTCCATATTAACGAGGTTTCACTTGTATCAATTTGGCTTAACAGCAGATATACGTAAAGCGTTTTTGCAAATAAGGGCCCTAGTCTGGACACCGTAGAGATAGAAGAACGGGTCGCTTTTTGCGATCTACTCGACAGAGAGCGAGTCAATGTCTCGATCATTACAGAGATCGACGCGTCGGAAATTTTTCCGTCAGCTGGACAGCTGCCGTTTAAGTTTCTGACTGTCGTTTTAGTGCTAAACTGAGGACGGCGGAGGTCACGGATTGTTTTTGAAAGTGTACGTAATAGATATTTTAATTTCTTAAGATTTGTGAAAAACTCGAGTATTTCGCTATAGAAATAACGCATTTGATGCTGACGATTCTACATTATTTATTTATTTTACATTACCAATGCCTTAATTAAATTTTAGTGAAAATAATATATTTGGTGTTTTCCTATTTCACATATAAAGAAGGGGTGCATACTTTTAATTTAAAATTGTAATTTTTAAACTAATGTATATATCAATGTACTTAATTTCATGTTTTGATGAGTAATTTATAAATTTTGAAATTTTATGTTTTA